TGCTGAGAGGTGTTTGTTAACCACGTATTCAATAAGTCATCTTCCTTTAGAGCTGAAGTAACTCTAACGCAAAACATCTGCTATTCTTTTTAGGCTCAGTCAACAATATATGTGAAACATGTTAATAACATTAAAAAAACATTTTCTTTCATAGTTATGAATATGTTATATGACACATAATTTCCTGTGAACCATATTTTATACAACCAATTTCAGTTTTTTATTTAAGAGTCTCTTTGACTAGCCGAAGATTGGTAGAAGTAGTTAACGATATTTAAGATTATATAATGAAGAGTAAAATTGCAATGTATTTTAATTTAAAATTTTTTTTTCTTAGAAATGGACTCAATGGAACATAAAAATGTTCAGTTAAATGCACTCCAGCTGCAGAAGAATGAATTAAAGCAGTATTTATTTACCCTCCAAAATGAACTCAAAGGTGTGCCTCATGATCAATCGTCATGATCATTATTTGTGCCTTGACAGATGCTTCTGAAAAATGTTTTGTCAAGTTCTTTTTCTTAAGAAAAAGTCATAGATTTTAATATATTTTTACATTATGTAATACATCATTTTTAAACATAGTTATAACAAAAATTATGGATTTCAGTAAGATTTATATTAAATGTCAGTGATACTGAGGCCTACAGATTTGCCAAACCATAACATAGCTATGAAAAAGTAATTTTTACTTTTGCTCATAAGTCACATACTTAAACCGAAATGTTTTTCTTTCAAAGTGAACTTAAAATCAACATAAATACTGTTTAAAACCCATTAATGTATAATTAAAGAATGTCATTAAAATTCAATGTCTAACAAGCAACGTGACTTGGACTGATAGACAGATTTGTCCTAGTTGCTAAACCTCTGAGTAGTAAATTCGACTGTCATCTCTTTACTGACATTCATGTGTTAGTGTATGAAAGTCTGTGTATAAAAAAAGAAGTCTACACATAAAGCTGTGTTGAATGCACAGGAAACACTATAAAAGAAACAAGTAAAAAGATAAAGAAGGAACTGAGAAAGGTTGTGTGTCAAAGGTGATCACAAGCAAAAGGGATGATTTTAAAATTTGGATAAAAATGTAGGTGGTTTAGTAACTTTTTTAGAAATGTGTAAAATGTCACAGTAAGAAAGCTAAGACAGACAGACCATAAATATGGTCATAAATTGTTTGGGAAAAGGAATGAAACTTTATAGAGGATTGGAATATGCATACTAGACATTACAATAATAAAATAATTCTTGTTCTTTATTTGGATGCCTTTACCCTACAAACAGTTTCACAAAGAAATATTAGAAAAGATAAATTTAGAAAATGTAGGAAGACTTTGAATGATGATTAATATATATTTAGAAGGTAATTGTTATTTTATGTTTAGACCTTGAGAAAGTAATCAGGGAGGCTGAAAAAATGACAAAAGATTTAGAAGCAGAAAAAGTCCAAGTCACTGAAAAACCTCAGACTGATCCTGAATGTTTAAGGTAAGAGTCTGATGTTAATAAGTTCCTAAATTTAATTTTAGGTCTGTAACTACAGACCAGTCCTGGTGGCAATGACTATTTTACGTTTCCAATACTCCTTTGAAATCAGAAGAATAATTTTTATTACAGAACACGAATTCCTGGTTTTTATGACAGCCTTTCACCCTTACATGCATACTTCAATGAACTAAAAACTGAAAGTGTTTGCAAAGAAGTCAGTCAAACTTGGAGGAAGAGCAAAAGTCTATTCCTTGGGTGGAAGGCCAGTTTTTGTGAAAATAGTGGTAGCATACAAAGTACTGATGAACTACCCAATGTATATGTACTTCTGCTGACTGGCTGCACAACCTTCCCCAGAACCTGACTGAAATGGAGTGGATTGGCTACAATAACCTCCTTGGGTCAGGTGGCCCTTGTACTGAAGCTACCAAATGTAGATTTATTTTCTCTATAATCCTTACCATCAGTTCTAGTTTGCCTTCTAATTAAGCTAGTTTAGAACAAAATTTTGAAGATTTAACGAAGACAGAAGACCTTACAGAGTCTATCATAATAGTGAATATTTCTTCCCAGGAACTGAGTGGTAACGACTTATTTCTTGTCATTTTGCTCAAGTGTGACATTTACATTTTCACTATACAGAAAATAATCTAATGTTTTCAACAAAAAAACTTCCAATGCAGAAAGCCCCATGTCACAAAATTAACCATCTTCCTCCTATTTTATGGTGTTGTTCCAGATGAAAGTGCCTCTGGATATTTAAAAATATTTAATAGACAATGCAAAGCAACTCCTCCTAGAAAATCTAGGAGGAGATAGAAATATTCTCTAACAGAAATCATTAGGGAAAACACAACTTCTGTGACCAGTATGGTTTTTTTCCTATACATTTCTGAGTTTTTTGCTAAAGTAAATATAATATTTTTTTCTGAAAACTTTCAATGGAAAAATAAAATTTTGCAGAGAATTCTGAACATTTTTCTGAAAGACGGTTTGGTGATGGCCCATTTTTTGCTGAATATCTTTTTTTGAAAGGAAATTATATATCAGCCCTATTACTAAACTCTCTTCAACTTCTTATATGTTGTTGAGAATGGCCAAAATTCCCTCAGCATAAAAATTAATTAGCTCACAATTCTGCATACAGTAGCAAAAACTCTGCATTCAACATATACATAGAAGACACAGTGTAAATAATAATAACAGCAGCAATTCTCTAAGATTGTAATTCACTCTTTTACATTATTCATTCCATCGTGATATATTAGGTTTTGTGATACATGAGGTTGTCAACTTGCTTCTAAATAACATACTTCCCTTGGAGTAGTTTACTGCCATGATGCCACTTAATATTCAAATTGGTGTAATTAGTTTTCTATAACAGGTTCCCTGTGCACAAGGTACAGAAGTAGCAAACATTATATTACTTTAAATGCCCAGCTCTGCCATTGATTGCTATGAGATCCTAGGCAAATCATTCAAATCCAGGTATGTCTGTCTTTCTACCTAGTGAAATTAACTCACAGCTATGTGGAATGATACTTTGGCTTTATCTGGGTGGAAAATACAACAGTGGATAAAAATATATTAAATTCTATTAAGTACAAAACCAGCAAGTGTCATTTGCAATCAAAGCAAGAAAGATTATGAGATTTTTTTGTTTCACAAAATGCCTCATTTTATGGTCAAGATAAGCTTACATTATTTGATAACTGCATGTAGTGCAAAATGTGAAGTGGTCCTGCTGCTGTTACTACTATCACAAAAAGCAAGTGCTCCTTGAGGTATAAGAATATATTGAAGAAATTTTCTTTACATTGAAATATTTTTTCATTTCAGATACTGGACAGAATTTAGGACAGATTTGTCTAAACCATTCTTTTATCTTACATTTGCTTTCGATGTCATGTATATTCAGAAGAGCTCAATGCTTTATAGAGAGAGATAGCCTTGAACAAGTTAACTTACATGCCAGAAACAACACAGCTATGTTACTGCTCTTCCATGTCAGCAATAAAGATTCTTCTTTTCAGTAGAGCCAAGCAAGCAATCCTCATTTGTCAACTTCTGTATGTCATAGCACTGTGCTCTTTAGAATTATCCCAAACCTTATGACTGACATAACTCTATAACTTTATTTTATTTTATTTTAAACAAAACCTACTCATCACTTCTTGGGTTGGACTACTGAATTAAGAGAATAAAATGGAATTTGAAGTCTTATATGCTATAAATAGTGCAGATACCCCCTGGAGGTACCTGATCGCTCTCCAGTAGCTACAAGGAAGTCATCAAGAAGATGGAGCCAGGATCTGCACAATGCTGCACAGTGGGAGAACAGAAGACAAAAAGTGGAAACTGAAACAAGAGGGTTTTATAATGAATTTAAGGAAAAACTTTTATTGTGAAGATAGTATAGCAAAGGAAAAGGTTGCCGAGAAAGGCTGCATAGTTTTCGTCCTTGAAGGTTTTCAGACTTGACTGCATAAAGCCCTGAGTAACCTGGTCTAACCTTGTAGCTGACCTTGCTCTTAGAAGGACATTGGGCTAGATGACCTCCTGACATCTCTTCCAGTCTGAATTATCCAATGAATCAATTATCATTGCGGACTACACAAGGGAGAGAAAACAGCCCATAGATCAATACATATGCACTGGCTTGTGCCTACACTGCTCAGAGGCAGCATTATCTGCAACAAACCAGTCATCTCCACACTGCCTAGCACTTGGTGAGATCATATCTGCTCTGGTCCCTTTATAGTGATATTAAGATATGTCATCTATATACACATATTTTCCATTCAAAATGCATTAAATACTTAAAGGAGTTACATCCAGCACAGCAGAGTGCTGGTTCAAAATGACAATACCTAGCATGTGCATGGCACGCCCTATGATGTGCCACAGAAATATCTGAGGGACCACAGCTGCTGCAGCAGAGCATGTGCTGATGCAGTCCATGCCAATAGTCTCACTGGAGAAGATCCTTGAGTGAACTATCCTGTCCACTCCCGTGGGTGCCCTCTGAAGGGAATCTGAGAATAAAGAATAATTCATGCAGTGTCAGTGAGAAAAACTAAAGTACCAGGCACCTGGGATGAACCAGGAAGCCCTCCTGACAGTCTAGATATACTTTTGGCACTTCCAAAGGACCCTTTGCAGCCAAAGTGCCAATTCATGCAATCTTACATATACTAGTGCATATCTTAATAGGAGTCAGTTTTGATCATGTTAAAATCACTGCGATTGAACCTACTGTTTGAGAAAAAACTCTTTTTAGCCTAACAAGATAAGTTTTTTTCCACATACAGAATCTATTGCAAGAAGACAATTTTAGTTTTTACTGAAAATCGTATTTAGTATACATAAAGAGAAGAATATTTTGACACATCAAAAGTATGGTTTTTTCCTATGAAATAAGAACAAAATTTTGATTATTTTTTTTTTACAAGGCAGGAAACCACACTGCTCTTTAAATGGTAAAAATACCAATGTTTTTAATGTTTCCTTAGAACAAATGTGAGAGGTAGTCAGCATCAATAACCTGATATATGTAGCTCCCAGATCACCCTGTAAGTCTGTTGTTGTATCACATACCTAGTCCCAGCTTAAAAATCAATATAAAAAGTAGCTGGCAAGGCAAGAATCTTCATTACAATTAAGTACATATCTTAAAGTAAATTGCATTTCAGCTGAAGAGTGTAGCCAGCTAATTCACATTACAGCAGTTCATCTTTCATCTGAGAAAAATGCCCTATACCATGTCTGCAGTTTCATAAAATTTCTCCCAAATCCATCAAAGAATTACAAAAGGTCATGAGAAGCACACACCAGTAATTCCAACAGCTATTGGTGCTGCAGTTATAGGCTTGTTCTAATACATATCAGATACAGGAAAAAACTAACCAAAACTTGAATGTTAAGCACCGATATAGTTATGGATAAGACACTGTACCCTCTTCATCAAAGTAGACATCCTGGAAATTGTAAGTCTCATGATACAGTTGCATAATTCAGAGAAATATTTAAGAAAAGAGGGCTTTTTTTTTTTTCAGAAAAGAGCTGCAATTAAAATCAAAAGATTTCTTGTAATCATCTGTTCTGCCAATGCCAACCCCAAACACAAAACAGCAGGAAAGAACTTTGGCATCAGCTCTCTTGAGTCACATTTCCCTGGCAGGTAGCAAGTAGCATCACTTTAAGTGGAACAATACAGGAGTCAAATAGAGACTGATACATGCAAATTCCTAGCCATATCATTTCACTATTATATTCATTGTAATTACTTACGATATTATTTACCTTTTTTCACATTTTAAATTTATATGTTGCCTTATGTAAAGCAACCTAGAAATAATTTTATTTACATTTTATTTAGACTAGGAACAGTCAGTTTCTAACTAAAATTGGTATTTTTCACACTATTCTAAAGGTAGACTAAGGATGAAATGTTTCTTTGAGACCTGAATTTCTGTTCTACTTCAGAAAAGCAGTAGCAGCAGGGAAATACATGAAGTCAGCTTACTTAAATAGTTCAAGGCTTTGTATACCTACCTAATTCCTAAACATATAGTATTGCTTCTTACACTTCATAATACAAAAACACCCCTCCATTACCAAAATTAGGAAGGAAAAAGCAATGCTTTCCTTCATACAAATCATACAGGAAATATGTTCATTAAAGCTGAACAAATGTTTCACACTAACTGTGGACTGCCTAAGGCCATGCATGGTTCTTGTAGTTTAAAAAAACATGTATTTGCAATTCAATTTTATGTTAAATTTTATAATCAGAATATATCAATCTCTGGAGTAATATATGTGATTCAAAATGAGTTTTTTAATTACAATCTCCTCATCGATTTTTTCAGCTTTTCTTTTTAATAGCAGTGCCCAGTGGAACTATTATAGCTTGAATTATGTTAAAATAGGTTTCCATTATAAATTGCAGTATGGATTTACAAAAAGTAGATCAAATCCAACTAATTATGTCTGTCTTA